CTATTCTCTATCTCTATAAATCTCAAATCCGTCCCTGTATGGAATACTGTTGCCATATCTGGGGCAGATCTTCTATTGATGCCCTTTCTCTTTTAGACAAGGTGGAAAAACGCATTGTAAACATAGTTGGACCTGCTTGTGCAGCCAATCTCCAACCATTGTCACATCATCGTGATGTTGCTTCTTTTTCTCTTTTCTACAAATACTATAATTGGCACTGCTCTAAAGCTAGTTTTTTTTCTTCGAACATCAGTTCTTTGGAATTTGCTTCCTTTGTCTTGCTTCCCTGATTCATATAATTTGCAATCTTTTAAGTCATCTGTCAATCATTATCTTGCTCTACGAACTTAATCTTTTCTCTTCCAATAACTTCCAAACTCTTATAGTGGTTGTTCGCAGCCTTGTTGGAAGCGAAGATGTAATATATATTTTTTCTATTATAATTTATATATATATAAATTATAATATATAGTCTTTAATTCATTTACTTACTTATCTTAAGAATAATGAAATATAAAAAACGTTTAAAGTTGAGAATAGTTTTGATCTTTACTAGTATGATTGTATCGCCAAGTCTCTTGAATGTGATCAATCATTTCTTGATACTAATGTTGCAAAAAGTAGTATATTTTTTATTATGGTTAAATGTTTAGTTTTTTTTTATAAGGGTAAATTACATAAAAAATTTTGATCTGTAATTATATACATAATGCTCACTTTACAAGTAAACATAATTTACACAAAATTTTTGAATTGAATAAAACACTAATGAATTGCTCCTATGCCCAATATAACTTACACTAAATTGTCCCATATCAATTACACTAGTGTTATCTTTTGAATTTAGAAATAGAAGTTTTTAAATGTTGGTGGCTCATCATGCAATGCATTTGAGAAGGGCATGCTTTCAAAGTAAGTATAATTTTACTATAAAAAGAGCATTTTTAATACCGCAATTATATTGCATACTTGACATACATAAATATATACGCTAGTCACAACAATCCAGTTAAAAATTTCTTTAAAAAAATAAATTTAGTGTTGAGAAATTCGTATTTTTTGATGTTTGATGTTATGTTTATAAAATAATAAATATATGTGTGTGTTATTTGTTTCTTTCCCCTTTATTTTTACATTCTTATCTTAACAATATTTTTTTAAGGTTAAGATTGCTTTCCTGATTCCTACAGCAAAAAAAAAACTTTAAAATGCTGGTAGCAATATTTTAAAGAGTGCATCTGATCGAAAAGAAAGTGAATGGCGTCAACTGTTCGAAAATTCGATTTTTGGAAATTAACAAGTGGAAGAAGAAGTTTACAAAGTTGTAATTTATAAAACTCAGCACAATTATATTATTAAAAAATTTAAATGATTTATTATTTTTTTCTTATTCTCAAGAAGTTCTGTAAAAACATAAATTTGAACCTTACGTTTAAGTAAACCCATGTTAGAACACGTATTTTAGACGTCGAAATAAGAACGTCTAAATTAGGTTATTTAAAGACGTCATTCGGCGTTTCCATTTAGCACTAGTTCTGAACGTCCTAGATTCACGTCTTTTAGACGTCTCAAAACACGTCTTTAGTCCGTCCTAAAAAGACGTCCTAATTACGTCTTTAAAAGACGTCATCTGGCGTTGCCATTTAGAACCAGTTCTGGACGTCCTAAAAAGACGTCCTTTCGACGTCATATGGACGTTTCCGTGCCCGCTGGGTTCTATCGCAAGTTTTTTATAGAAAGTAGACTAATTCATACACACTCTACGCGAAATATAAATAATGGAAAACTTATTGTATCCTCATGTAAAACTCAAAAGTATGGTAAGAATTCTGTTGTGTATCAGTGCATCTGTGAATGGAACAAGAGCCTTGTGTGCATTGTGAATGAGTTCAATAAACTCCAACGCCAAAATTTTACTTAATATTATAGTAATTATTGTTATTTATAATTTATTTTGTTATTATTATTATTATTGTTATAAATTATTACTATTGCTTATTATTTCATAATTATTGTTATTATTATTTATCTTATTATTGTAAAAATGATTTTAAAGTGGAAAATAAATAGCTTGTTGTTGTTGTTGTTGTTGTTGTTGTTGTTGTTGTTGTTATTGTTGTTGTTGTTGTTGTTGTTGTTGTTGTAATACAAATAGCTACAGAGTTGCAATATATAGATTGAAATATACATTATTAAATAATGTTTTCCGATCAAATTTCTGGATTTTAAACTTGTTCCACTTTAATGCTTTTTAAGTAAGGCCTATTAAGGTTAGCGTCAAGAGCAGGTAACCCCTTGGACTTTATTTAACGCTATTATAAAACTATCTAGGTTATAACCTGTTGCGCAAACACACTTATTTCGGATACATTTTGGAAATCGAAAAAACGTTTTTGTACTTCGCCGAGTAAAAAAATACTTTTTTGTGCGTAAAAGTTTTTTCACAAATTTCTGACGGTAAAGTAGACTAATTTTTTAGTCATTATAACATGTTCCTTTATTTTTAGTCATTATAACATGTTCCTTTGATTTTAGTCATTATAACATGTTCCTTTGATTTTAGTCATTATAACATGTTCCTTTGTTTTTAGTCATTATAACATGTTCCTTTGTTTTTAGTCATTATAACATGTTCCTTTGTTTTTAGTCATTATAACATGTTCCTTTGTTTTTAGTCATTATAACATGTTCCTTTGTTTTTAGTCATTATCACATGTTCCTTTGTTTTTAGTCATTATAACATGTTCCTTTGTTTTTAGTCATTATAACATGTTCCTTTATTTTAGTCATTATAACATGTTCCTTTATTTTTAGTCAATATTTAATTTATTTTTTAAATTATAGTAGTTTTATCTAAAACTATCATGTTGGTAGCAAAAAACAAATGCGAGGCTAAGATATGTAGCTATAGCTACATATTTTTTGACTAAATATATAGACTTCCGATATATAATTAATCGTATATTATGTATGTAAATTTATATATGATAGTAGGTAGCAATATTTACCTAGCAGAGATAAAATGTTGGTGTTATGTAGTATCTAGTGATAAAACTATGGTATATAGCTCTCAATTTCAACAACAACGCCAGCTAAAAAGCTATGTTATGTAACCACTGACTAGCCTTAGATTTGCTGTTTTGTTGTAGATTTTTCGTACATGTAACTAATGATATATCGAAGAACTTTTTTTCGATACAAAGCTGTAATATCTAGAATGCAACATGCTCTGATAACATCACAACGTTATAAGTTCATAAATTTAATCGTAAATATTAATTAGATCCATTACTAAAAATTGATTTCTTTATTATGTAAAAGGAAAAAGAAAACATTGCTGTAAGAAAATAGACTAAGGCTAACAATTCGCTAGCAGGTGGCTAGCTTATTTCTTATCGGTTACGTTCTCGTCAACATCTAATGAGGAAAACTTTATCATTTTAGACAATGCGTCAGGTTCCACTCCTAACTTCACTCCTACTTCGGAGACTCCTAACTACCTATGGAAAAATTTGATAAACTTCTAGAAAATAAGATATAAATAAGCTTAAAAATTTAAAACGAACTTGTGCAGCATTAGTTATAAAAACATAAAAATATATAATGACTAAAAAACAAAAAATAATAACAATAAAATGGTTAAAAACAATTTTTTTATCAAAAGATCTGAATAACTTTAAAGCGAGCAATAATTTACTTTTCAGTATGTAAAAAATAATAACAATAAAAAAGATAGCATTAAAAATGATGCTACATTATAGTTAATTGTAGTTATATGTGTTATATTGTAGTTGACTGTAGTGTGTTTTTGGTTTTTTGTTTGTTCCTATATATTGAAGTTTGTAGTTACTCAAAAATACATGCTTTGTAGTTAAATAATAAGGTGTTATCAACTTTTAGTTTATTTTATTTTTTACTACGTTATTAATTGGTATACAACTGCTTTGCAGTTATTATTTTATTTATTAAATATGCATGGTATAGCTGATAGCCATTATAACTTTTTATGATAAAGCTGGTTTTAATTAAGGTAGCAGGAAAAAATCCCCCGGAAAAAAATCCGCCAGAAAATTTTTTTTTTTTTTTAATTAAAAATTATCAATAAAATACATATATTTATTTATTTTATAAAGTTTTATAAAATACTTGATTTTTCATCAAAATGTCAATTCCTCGGTTGTCGGTAAAATGCGAACTGCGAACCGCGAACTGCGAACCGGTAAAATGCGAACTTTTTTGCGAACCAAAACATTATATTTTAAAGACCATTTTTTTTATGATAATAATAATAATAATAAAAAAAAACTCTCCAGTTCTAAATTACCTATTTTAAAGCTTTATTTAAAATAAAAATTTTATTTTTTAACTGTAAAACATGCGCGGAGTGTTGCTATATCTTATAGCCTGACTCGCAACGGAGTACTGCTACATCGACTGAGGGTTTGGTTTTGGACAGGCAGTCTATCAAATAATTAAAAAAATATACATGTATATTTTCATATTGTATTCGTCTAGTTTCACTTCATTTCCTTTTACCTTTTTTTTTAATAATTTTTTTACTTAAAAGTCCCTAAAATATACCGCTAAATTAACTATTTAACGGTAAACGATAAATAAAGTATTACATCATAAACAACCAATACGACGATGGTTCGCACATTTTACTAGTTCGCAGTTCGTCAGGGTTAGGGTTAGGTTTTCACACTCGCTACCTTTGAGGAATAGCGCATAACTTGACATTTTGATGAAAAATGAAGTATTTTATGATAATATTTAAAATAAATAAAGAAACAAACATAACTACATATTGATAATTTTTTTGTAAAAGAAAGTTTTTATGACGGGGGAGGGGGGGATATTTTCCGGAGGTATTTTTTCTCGGGGGATTATTTCGAGGGGATTTTTTCCGAAGGGATTTTTTCCTAGAACTTTAATTAAACCAATACAATACCCTTCTCTTAAAAAAATAACAAGGATGATAAAAAAAAAACAACAACTAATGACTTTAATCATTATTCATCAAAACATTTGAATATATACTAAAAGATTTTAGATAAAGTTTTGCGGATTACCCATAATACGGGCGCACGGTAATTGACATAAAGCTTGGTCACCTTTCGCGTAACTGTTATGGGCAAATCTATCTACAGATGAATAATACACATCTGCACCGTGATTACAATGCTCAAGAGTTCCTGATTTAATACGAGTCCATTTTAACAACTGTGAAGCAATATGAAAAATGCTTATTAACCTATCCCAGAGAGACACCTTGTAATTATATTTTTCAAGCTGAAGACTTTCTTTTAATAGACATAAGTTCTTCATGTTTGTTTTGAAAGCGAGATCACACTGGTTTCTTGTCCAATTGTAAACTCTTCCCTAAAAATAAATGAGTTTTTATTAAATCACTTCTATAAATAAAAGCAATTACAAACTTTGTATCTAATACTTTAAAATATGTTCACTCCTCATGTCTAAAAAAAAATTATTTAAACTTAATATTAGATAAAAAAAAAATTTTTGTTAAAAGAAGATTTGCTTGTTTGTACTTACAATTGTTAATAATAGTAATAGTATTGAAATTAATGAGAACGCTCAACATTCTTTAAAACTTAAAACATATCTAAAATACATACTGGAATAAAAGAAGTTGAATGAAGCGTTTAAAATACATACTGGAATAAAAGAAGTTGAATGAAGCGTTTAAAATACACACTAGAATAAAAGAAGTTGAATGAAGCGTTTAAAATACATACTGAAATAAAAGAAGTTGAATGAAGCGTTTAAAATACATACTGGAATAAAAGAAGTTGAATGAAGCGTTTAAAATACACACTAGAATAAAAGAAGTTGAATGAAGCGTTTAAAATACATACTGGAATAAAAGAAGTTGAATGAAGCGTTTAAAATACATACTGGAATAAAAAAAGTTGAATGAAGCGTTTAAAATACATACTGGAATAAAAAAAGTTATATGAAGCATTTAAGACATATCTAAAATACATACTGGAATAAAAGAAGTTATATGAAGCATTTAAAACATATCTAAAATACATACTGGAATAAAAGAAGTTATATGAAGCATTTAAAACATATCTAAAATACATACTGGAATAAAAGAAGTTATATGAAGCATTTAAAACATATCTAAAATACATACTGGAATAAAAGAAGTTATATGAAGCATTTAAAACATATCTAAAATACATACTGGAATAAAAGAAGTTATATGAAGCATTTAAAACATATCTAAAATACATACTGGAATAAAAGAAGTTATATGAAGCATTTAAAACATATCTAAAATACATACTGGAATAAAAGAAGTTATATGAAGCTTTTAAAACATATCTAAAATACATACTGGAATAAAAGAAGTTATATGAAGCATTTAAAAAGTTGTTCCATCACATGCACTGCAAGTTCAAAATTTAGTTGAAAAAAGTCTTATTTGTTTTATATTTTAAATGAGAATTTATTCGGTAGAATTTAATCTCGGTAAACTGAAAAACTATTAATTTTCATTTAATGATATGACATTTAAATAAGTTAGGGTCACAAATCACAACGCAACCGTCAACGTTAATTACCGCAACTTTGAAAAACTTATAAAAGAAAACTAAAAAATTAGAAATCCAGTTTTTCAGTCGTGCGTCTAAAAAATTTTTTTGTATAAACACTTCTTATGGTTATCATATTTTTACTATTAAAATGTATTATCTCACATTCTTTACTCAGGTTTTTTTTTTTAATTTCACACGCACGGTTTTTGTCTTTTATAAATCCTTCACTACATGTTTATATCTTTATATTTTTGCGGGTAGCATTTTTTATGGTTTTTGTGCGATGGCTTTTCCACTATCATATATTATTTAATTTTTGTACTGACTTCAAGTTGGGCAACTTGTTCATTTTCTTACACTTTTGATTGTTTACATAATTCGAAAGACAGCGTATATAACGTTCATCTTTCATAATGTCGCGAAATAGCTAGTAGTTTGTCAGCCTGTGTCTTACACAAGCATAGAGAAAATACTTTATCAAGAGAAGCGTTTTTTTTTTAGAATTTAGTTTCCTTTAAGGATAACTTTTTTTTCCCTTGTTATCTTTTTAAACACCTTTCATAATAAAAAAAAAAAAATTATAAAAAAATTAAATCATTTAAACTTAAATAAAAAAAACTTTCAAATTGACAAAAATTGAAGGACCAGACCACATTTACATATAATATATGTGCACATGTATTTATATAAAAAATTTTATTATCAAATTTGAAAAAAAGTTTGCCGTCTTAAGAAACAGTTAAAAAATAATTTAAAAAATTCAAGTTTTAAGAAATTCTAAATATCTTTGATCATTTGTATATCAATCTTCCCTTTCTCTAAAAGGAAGATATGTTACCCCTTCTCTGAGAGGAAGATATATGTTACCCTTTCTCTGAGAGAAAGTTATATGTTATCTTTTTCTCTGAGAGAGATATATATTTTGGGTGGTTATTTTAGGTGGACTGAGCACTGTGGAAAAGGATAGTTACACCCCTTTTATTACCGATGACGCAAGCATATTCAGAGCTCGCATCGATACCTGGATTACTTTCCTCTAAAGCTCTACCTACTGCGAACGGCTGTTTTAATCATAGTTAATTAAATGTTGTAAATCAAACAAAAAGACAAGTACCCCAGGAAAAAAAGTTCTATAGAATTTCTATATACTTTTGAAAAATATGGTCTATAGAAATTCTATAGAACTTCTATAGAATTTCAATAGAATGTTTAATAATTTCTATAGAAGTTGCTATAAAACCTTTTTTCTCTATAGAAAAAAAAGTAGAAAAAAATGTTCTCTACGAATTTCTATATATATTAACAGACATTCTAATCATATAGAAATTCTATAGAATTTCTATAGGCCATACGTTTCAAAAGTTTATAGAAATTCTATAGAACTTTTTTTCCTGGGACATCATTAAAAAAACTTACACAATGGTAGCAAACATCATGATAAATGCAAGCTGGTAAGAAAACCTCTTTGTATGGAAAAGGTAAATTTAGAGGTATGCTACATCCATTTGACAATTTATTTACACACTGTTGGTAATCCACTAATTGAGCAAAAGAAAACGAAGCAAATGAAAGTATAGCGTACTTGATGAACCACATTCTAATAAGTTCTTCCTTCTTTATCTGCAAAGTTTTTAAAGTATTTAGATAAAAAATTGTCTTGGTTTCCATGACTTTTACAATAACTTTGCTTTTCTTTCATAGTATCCTAGCATTTTATTTCAATAAAAAGAGAAGAATAAATAACAACACAAATAGTATAGAAATCAAATTAAGAGACTAACGAAAATTTTAATTTTCAGACAAATATTGATGCTGTAAGCAAACAGCGAGAAGAGTTTTTAAAGAATTACTAAATTAATTAAAGCAAATAAATCAATAAAAAGTGAAGTAGTAAATAATCTTACAATGATAACCTATAACGATATTTCAAATTCAATTCAACGTCTTCATTTTTCTGCACTTTTTCTATCAAAAAAAAAAAACTTTCAATTATATTAAACGTATTATTCAAAGGTACTACAGAAAAAATCTTAAAAATTTTAAAGGTTTCAAAATTTTTATTAAACTGATATTATTTTTACAGAAAAAATATTATGCATATAGGCCCATATATTTGTAAAGCACAATATTGAGCCCATATAGTAAAGGTTTCTCTACGGTCCGAATTAAAAATTTAAATCTTAAAATAAGATGTCAAAGTAATAAAATGAGTGAAAATAAGTAAAAGTTTTGTATTCTTTTCAGGTTGTTATAATGCATCTTTTCCGTAAAGGTGACATCGAAAACGACAAAATATTACTTGATGCAACAGTTTTTTTTACAAAATTGTAACAACTTGTGAAATATTTAAGGAGTTATGCTTAGAAAGTTTACACAACATTTTTTATTCAACACACCTTTAGCGATGTCTATAGCATTTTTGTTTAACACACCCATAGCAACAATTAAACAATAGTATATATATTATTAAATTTATTAAAAATTTTTAATTCAAAAAGTTTGTTTTTGTGAAAATAAATTTTTCTTTTTTAAAAAGTAAACTTTAGGTCATTCTTTTAAAACCAACTTTTCAAATAAATCTGCCGACAACTAACATTTTTGTTGGCCCGATGGCAGCAAGAAACATTTTTCACACCTTTAAAACATTTATAAGACTTCAATTTTCTAAATACAAACAATGAAAGTCTTTCTAATTTAATATTATCCACGCCTAGCAAACATTGTTTAATTTGAAGTGGACCTATATAGGCATTTTTAGCGGTTCTTTGGAGTTTCGCTCATCGGTTACTGAGTGGACCATTAGCGGTAGCCGCTAAAAATGGTAAGCCAATAACTTTCCGACATGTTAATAGTAGCTATTCATTGGCTTACCGTTTCTATAAAATGTCTATTAATTTCTATAGAAATTTCTAGAAATTTCTATAGAAATTAATAGACATTCTATAGAAAAAAAAGTAGTAAAAAAAGTTCTATGGATTTTCTATAGAAATTAACAGAGATTCTATAGAAATTCTATAGAATTCTATTGAATTTCTATAGACTATATGTTTTAAAAGTTTAAAGAAATTCTATAAAACTTTTTTTCCTGAGTCACCTAAAATGCCTATTTATATATAGGCATTTTATACGACCGAAGAAAAAAAAGTCCTATTGGACCACTAAAATCCGTTATAGCATGTTTGCTGGTCGGTTAATACCTGTCAAGTAAATCTTATTATGCTTGCTACCTGTGTTTTTTTCCTTTTTAAATGTAAACTTTTGTTAGGCAAACATTGGAAAAAAAGGCTGAATTTATCGGCATTAAAAACATTTCCAAGTGGGTATCGAGAGAAAATTGTTTTTGTTCATTAACCATCTTTGCCATTATAGAAATAGTTTGAAAGATCATACTTAAAAAAAAATTATAAATTTCTTTGAGGTGTAACTTTGGTCTCTTTGAAATTTTCCAGAATGTCCAATTCTAAATATTCTACAATTATAGCAGTGAAAGAAATAATCTGTATTTACTTTTATTAAGTTGGTTTAAAGGATGGATCTAAGGTTTGAAAATTTTCAAAGCTCAATTCTTTTTCAAAATATAATTTTTTTTTTTTTTTTTTTTTACCAGAAAACCACTAATCGGGCATATTCACCTCTTGTTTGTTTAAACCATCTAAGGTTTGTTGACTTGATAAAACTTATCAACGCGTTTAGCAAAATTTTCTTGACGAAAAGCGTCAAAGATTTTATCTGTTTTATTTTTCCAGGTTAGATAAGTGTTGAATTGAATATCAAAAATTTTTAAACCTTATCAATTTTTAAACCTTATCTAGAAATTTCTAAAACCTTATCAAAAAATTTTTAAGCCTTATCTTGAAATTTCTATAAAAATTAATAGACATTCTATAGAAAAAAAAGTAGTAAAATAATTTTAACCTTAACCAAAAATTTTTTAACCTTATCAATTTTTAAACCTTATCTAGAAATTCCTAAACCTTATCTAAATATTTTTAAACCTTGAACCTTGATCATACTTTAATATGATCTGTAGTGGCAGATGATGGGCTTTATGAAAGAATTAGGTCGGCGTGATGCTTTTCATATCTTCTTTGAGCCCCTGTCTGTTTATTATTTATATATTTGAAATAAAAATTTTTATCCGATATGTGTTTATTTATTTCTTCATTTAAAATAAGTTTAACGATGTTATTACAACAAAAAAAATAACCCATAAAAATTTCGACCAGAAGACAACGTCTTATTATCCAGCCCCGTTAATATAACTGAAACATACAGCTGATAAAAATGAAAAAGAAAAAAGTAATGAAATCGAGAACTGTCTTAACAATCAATTTATAGTTTAAAAAATAAATTAAAAAAAAATGAAAAGAAAAAATGGATAATTTTTCTTATAATTGATTTTAAAATTCTCTCATTTATTCTACTATTATTATTACACACACACACACACACACACACACACACACACACACACACACACACACACACACACACACACACACACACACACACACACACACACGCAGAAACGCACACACACAAAGATAGACACACAAAGTTACAGACACATAAAAAAATAATTCTAAATTCTAAATCACATTTAAACCCTTGGATGACCAAAGGTTTAAAAAACATTAAAAAAAAACAACATAAAAATGAAATAATTTACAAAAATTATAAAAAGTTGTTTGAAAAAAATAAGAAACTAATAAAAGTATATTATGCAAAGATGCTGGAATAAAACCCATGGAAACCCAGTAGCCTATGGAAACACAGTAGCCCATGGAAACAGGCAAAATATGTAGAAAGTGATTGAACAAATAATTAGTAAAAATATTGTCTATTAATTGGCCTCAAAAACTCTTAATTGATGGGAAAATAATAAATAAGGTATAGTTAAAAAGCGACTTTTTTTTTTAGATCGGCCAATAGTTGGCTGATAAAATTCCAAAACACACCACAAATTTCAGATACCAACAAATTTCAGAAAGATACCACAAATTTCAGATAGATGAAATCAACAAATATATTTATGAAAGTAGTTAATTTAAACAAATGTTTAAATTTATTACTTTCAAGGATCAATTTTAGGACCATTCAAAAATTTTAAATGTTTTTTTGTTTGCTGATGACTCTAATTTTTTTCTCAAACAATAATATAAAAGATCTGTTTAAAAGATTGAATGAAGAATTTATTAGAAATTAATGAGTAGATTAAAACTAATAAATTTTCATTAAATAAAGAGAAAACTAAATTTATGTTGTTCCGCAAACCTAGTGATCACCTTCCTTTAAAATTACCCATTATCTTTATGAATAATACAGTTATAAAAGGAGAATCAATTGTCATCTTATACCAAGTTACGCTGTTTATGTTTAAATCAAAACATGGTTTATCTCTGAATATCTTTTATTCTTACTTTACCACAAATTTCTTATAAATACCCCACAAAATTTTTAAATGATAAATTTGTTATTCCAAGATCTTATTAAAAACTTAATCTAATTTAAATTGAATATTGTGGGCCATTTCTGGTCGACAATATTGTCATTTCTGTGGAAATTTTTTTTCAAAATATTATTAAAATAAAATAAAACTAAACTTCTCAAAATGTTATTTAAAATAAATTTCTAAACTTTTCAAAATAATATTAAAAACAAAACTCTTCTAAACTTCTCTTGAAAATAATTCAAGAGACAATGTAAACGTTTCTTTTTAAAAAAATAACTGAATTTAAATATTTCTTCTAAAATAAGACCAAAACTAAAATAACTAAACTGAAAAAGACATTAGTTCACAGACTTACTTATTTTTGTCTTGATTATCTAACTTTTATTTCGTTTTAAAATAAAAAATTTATGGTAATATTTATTTTAATATCTTATCGTACTGATTAGCGTTTGTAATATCTGCGTGGAATGTATTGTAATTTAATTAATTAATTTTTTTTATAAAACTTTTTGGTTAATAGTTAATTTTGAAATAGTAATATCAACTAACGGTGATAATGTAAACGGAGCTCGTTGATATTATTTTATATTATATTATATTTATTATATTATATAATATTTATTATATTATATTTTATATTTTTATATATATTTATTTTGTCAAGCAACCATCTACAATTAAAGGTAATTTCCGATAAAATGTTTAAAAATAATAAATACAAGTACATTTCATTATTTATAAAAGTTACGAGACCGGAGAACCTGAAGAAGATAAAATCTTATGATCAGTACCCTTTGATTGTAAAAATTGGAAATAAAAGTGTATTGTTAGAAAAAATCATGTAAAGAATCTTGATTGGCAATAAGTTCGATTATGTTCTTTTTAAACTTTTGAGTGATATTGGCTTCTTTTAGTTTACCACTCAGGCATGTAAAATGGTTCCATAGCATCGGGCCACGATAGGAAATGCCAAAGCTCGTTTAAGATATTGAAATAACCAAGTAATTTATTTGCGAATGAGCGCTCAATTTTGATGTTATTTATATATAGTATTGGTAAGAATTTTGAAATAGATTGATATTTGTGTTTAGAATGGAATAAGGAAAACTTAGTTTTATCAGTGTTTAAAGATAGGGTGTTTGCTATAAGCCAGTTTGACATTTGTTCTAGTTTATTATTTGC